GCAACTGCAGACAAGTGTCTGCTTCATGGCTTGTCCCTCCCTGGGCAGTCCAAGCAAAACAGCGGGCATCACAGGGAATGGAGGAAAGAAAGGGTGGATGGAAGGATAGGGAGTCAGGAGGACTAGGGCTAGTCTGGGCCACCAATGTGCACTTAAATAACAGCACAACCTGAAAAACATACTATAGCCAACAAAACCCAACACTGCCCGCACGGGAAACACACCACATCCTGTTGGCTATCCCTCACTTCTAACAGAGAGCCTCCCCTATCAGCTGAATCCTGCTAGCAACAGCAGGTCCTTCTGCTCCGCTCCCTGCTTGTTTCCTGGGCACGGAGCCGACAACCAACCTTTTCCCCTGGCCCAGGTGAAGGATCGGCTGGTCCCAACGCTCTCTGCCTCCGGCACGGCTGGCTCGCTTTGCCAAGGCTGCGAAGGCAGCTCACTGGATTTGCTGCTGCTCTTCAAAGGCGTGATGTACTTGGGCAGCCCTTTGTAGAACCACGCACCAGACCTCTTCCAAACCTGATGGAGATAGAGACACAACACCTTAAGCCTGGGTTTTTATAGCAAGAGAGCACAACCAGCACCACACGAGCTCCCCAGCACCCAGCCGCCCCTTCTAAGCTACCTCGACCCCACTCAAACACAGCCTGCAGATACCTTCCACCTCACAGAGCCCACCAGTTCCCCTGCGCTGTGCAACTACCACAGCATCCCAAATCCCTCCCCATGAATCCAGCTTCACCTCCATCCTCCTTCCACCACAAAACCCCACAAATCTGAATGAGCAACAGGCACAGACTGAAGGAGGAGCAGAGGGTGATCGTGCAACCACAAAATTTTTTGCATTCTCCAGGTCAAGACTAGATGTTTCTCTGATGCCGTGCTTCAGCCAAATACATGTTCCCAGGCTTACTACAAGGATACTGGGATGAAGCTCTCTAGCCTGAACTAAACAGCAGGCAGTTCAGATTCTGCATCTGTTGCTCTCCCGTTGGGAATTCACAAAAAGAAAAGCTTCCTGGAGAGAGCAGGCACGTGCCATGGGTGGCAATAACCCCAAACACATTCTCTGCTTAGCTGGAGGGGCACCAAATCCTGACAAGTCTCTCCTGCCACGCCAGGTCCCTCAGCCTGGGTCGCTCTACTTCTGAGAGAGTCAAAGACCGGCAGCAGCTGGGGGATGCAGGCGGCAAGGTCAGGACAACAGAAACGTGGTCTCCTGCGGTACCGAATGGCACAACCTTGGCGTTCATTTCACAGAGCAATTCAGGCTGAGCTAGATCATTTAACAAGTGTGCTTGAAAACCCCAGAACGAGAAGAACGACACTCAAATAACCTGAACTTGCAGCAGGAAATGGACTGCGAGCGCTAAACTGTAATATCTCCTGTAAGAACGCCCTCTACTCTCCAATTTAGTTTTAATGCAGCTTATGATGAAGGAGCTCTATTAAGTATATTTAATATAAAGCCTGCTGTGAGCCAGAGGAAGGGAAAAGGATGGCAGCTCAGACAAGGAGAAATGGCCTCTAAAAACCTAATTCTTTTGTGCCTTCCAGCAGTCTAATAATGAGCTAATGAGACAGCCAGGGCAAAAATAAGTTAATATAGTAAAAATATCATTTTCTATTTCACGCAGAGGGGTAGAAACCTTGCACTTCTGTTCAGAGTGAAGGAGATCAGTGTTTCTAGTCCAAGTTCCCAAAGCACCGTGCATATAGTATCACCATGATGGCAGTGGGTGCAAATGCAGATATCCCTAATTACAGCAATATGTTTGCAATTTGCATTTAGGGCTTAATCAAAGCAGAGGGCAGTGACAACACCTGGCACTCATGAGAAGTTCCTCTCACGCAGGCACAAAAAGCAGGACACCAGCATCACCATTTCACTGATGGGAGGAGATTGCTCAGCAGGTTGCCTGGCTCCTAGTCCAGAGCCATCAACACAGAGAGCTAAAATCTTTGTGTTTGGGGTCTTGAAAGCCAAGTTCAACTCAGAGGGCAACCTGGGAGTATGCTTTTTAAAAGAAAAGCGCCCAGCAGAAGAAAGCAGAGCATCACTGTGACCAAGCACACATGCCAGTTACTGTAAGAGCGCAAGAGAGAAGCTTGTGTGCACCATAGCAGGATCTAGAAACAAGGAGGTGAGAGCACCCTGCAATTACATCAATACTTTCGTGCTGGGTAACAGCCCAGCAGGATGGTGAGGCTGTCATCCAAGAGAAAAGCTGAGAAGTCAATTCCCCAAAGGAGAGAAGACTGTGAGTTCTTCTACAGAGGGGGCCTTGACAGGCAGGACGCCTTATCAGCTCCTTCACCAGTGTGCACATAGCCAAAGAGTGACCCAGCCAGTCAAGGCACAAGCTGACACAGCTCCTTCCGTCCCCTCTGCTAGCACATAGGGACTGCGCAGCATTTGGTACGGCTTGTACAACAGCACACGTCAGTGCAGCACAGAGACCCTGGAGGAACGTGCTCTGCTATCCTCGCAAAGCCAAGAATTCGGAAATGCAACACATTTTTTAAATCTGGGACAGATGCCTCTACACAGAGCTTAGCCCACTGCAACTCAGGTAAACATACACGATGCAGGAGCTGCAGGCTGGGCGAACCCTGGTCTCCCCTTGCCTTAGGAAGGCAAGAGGCCTTGGGAGCAGCTGCACGCACAGGACACGGCGGGCAGAACAGGGACTTGCTGCAGCCACGGGGTTTGCACCCTGATCAGCACCGTGGCTTAAGGAGGGCAGGTTGTCCGTTCCCTGCTGCACACAGTAGCTGAGGCACACGTAGCTTCCCCACACAAACCGCTGGGGAGGAAGCAACCCCTTCTTACAGTTGTTCTCTGAACAGACCTTGCAACATCTGTAATTTAATTTGAAGCACTGAAGAGACCTATTATCTTCATGAGAACTACAATTAAGGCACACCATAAAACCAATCAGACATAGCAAGGATTGCTGTAAGAAAAGGCTGGTCACCCCCAGGTTTCTCACCAACCCAAAGCAAGTCTAGTTATAGAAAGAGTTAATGATATAATACACCCAGCTCTGATGTACTAATACTAGTATAAAATTGATTCTGTGCATACATATTCATTTTAAATTGGTGCTTCTAATAGAGTTTGGTCTCATTACAGCAGTATTGAAATTGTTTTGAGATCAGCTCTAAAACAGCAGCAGCGAGATGCTCTCCGCTATGTTAATTCAGTATATCTGCTCCCCCTAGGTTAGCAGCATGCCCCATCCGTAACGACGGCAGTTCACGTTCTGTTCTGCACATGGGCACACAGGTTAGTTTTAGCATCCATGCATCAAAACAAAGCAACGTTGATGACTGCTATTGACGGTAGTTTCATTGATCACAGGAGTGGCCTGACAGCAAAGTTCTTGCTTGATTTTAAATTAATAAATCTATAACAGTGATTCAAGACTAAAACTCCTGTTTATTAGCAAGAGTTTGCTCTTCCCAAGGAGAAGAGAGTTTTGCTCCCACTAGTCCTGTTGGCACATAAGGTGAAATCCTGCCCCCACGGCAGCCTGAGTTTGGGTGAGGCTGGAATTTTATCAGCGAGGACAGCCAGCCCCCTTCCAGTCTCTTGCAGCAATCCCATTTTAAGTAACATTTATCATCCCTTGCTCCGAGTGCTTGACAGAGGGGAGTAAAGATCTGTATCTGCATTATCCCAGATCAGGATGAAGTGGCCCAGCTCAGGACAGAGTAGCCACACAACCTGGCCATCTGCACTCCAACTGGTCCAGCCAAACGCAACCAAAATCCGTACTAAATATTGACTTGCTTCAGCCTCCTGTCCTTCTGCCTCCCCTGACGCCTAAACTACCCTAAAGCAAAGTAGGGGAGGACACAGGGGAGAAGAGCTACTTTAGCAACAGACTCCTTATTACTTCAAACCAATTTAATAGCCGTGGCCATGACAAGTCCAGAAAGCTCAATGCCTTTTATAACCCTAATAATACTCCTATTAAAGTTGCATCAAGCCATCATTACAGCTACAGGATGAGACAGTCGGAAGCAGATGCATATTTTTATTTAGCGTGTTCAAGTGCAGCCTGTAAATGGGACCTAACGGAGAATCACTGGGCCCTGGTGAAAAGCATGTTACTGCTCATACTTCTCCCTCCTCTTTCTCCTCCTCTGAACACACAAGTGCTAAAACAAGCTCCTAAACAGAGAAAACATTAGGACTTGCTGATGAAGGGACACAGTCACAGCTGAAAGAATCATAACAAACACTCGCAGCCCCCCAGAGTTCACTTCACCAAGCCACAAGTCCCCCAGCTTAAAAAGGCTTTTCACTGCACAGCTACATTTCCCTCTACCATCTACTGCTCGCCACGCAGTAGCTGTTCTATTCTGCAGCCCCCTTCCTTCGCAGCAGCCCGGGCTGGGCTATGCGAGAGGAAAACAGCTACCTTTAGCTTCCCATGCTGACACCAGCGTTATCGGCTCAATCCCCCACCAGCTGAAAGGCGGAGGAGCAGGTTCTCGTGGGCTACAACGCAAATGCAGCCTCCCCGGGAGGACTTCGTTGCCATTGCCCTCACGCAGCACATGCCCACACACTCACTTTGTCCCAGCTCTCCACCACGTCTCTGGCACGCTGCAAACCACTGGCAGGGAGAAAGAGCAAGCGCTCTTCAGCTTCGTTATTTGCATTCATCTGCTTTTCCATAACACAGAGATTTCCAATTACATTATTTACAGCAATCTGTTGTCAACTCCCACATTCAGCACTTGAGGATGAAGAAAATTAAAAGGCAGTGAAATTGCTATTCGGAGCTTTGTTTCCGGAATAGCAAAATCTATCACACCTCTGACCCCGACGTTTCTCAAGCTGCAATGGCTGCCAGCCTTCAACCATTTATCATTCCCCTCTCAATCAGGCCTCTTTTTTTCCTGTGGCTCTATTCTAGAGGACACTATTTTGAGTCTAACCACTTGCTACCACCCCCCAAAATAATATGGCAGGCTATTGATGCGTTCTTTGAATTGCAAACAGGTGCACATCACTTTGATTCAATCCAGAGTCACCCAAAATAAACACTCCCCTCCATCAGCATGGTATTTTGCCAAGAAATCATCATGCCAGGCAGGAATAACCCTGGGCTGTGTTGGTTTATAACGTTCAAAACGGTATGAGTGTATATCCAAAAAGGGAAGCCCTGGGGGCAAAAGGGGAGGAGACAACTCCATTTTTCCAGCGCAGTAATCTTCTTCCTCTGTATGGTTTATTGTGATAAACCAAGAAATGCAGCCAGCCATGAAAATGCTGTTTAGCGGAGGAGAAGAAATTAAAGGGAAAGTGAAGCAGAGGGGGCAAATTAAAACTTTAACAGGTCCCTGATAGCTGACACTCGCTTTCATATTCAATGGGGTTTAAAAAAAGCTATCTCCCCCCACCCTACTGAAACTGTTTTCATTATCGCTACAATTTTGGATGTCTCGATTCAAATGTAAATGTGCACGAACGTTTCCAAGAGGATTTTAATTACGATGATAGCATCGCTAATTATGGATATAAAAAAATATATATATAAAGTGGTAATTCAGGAAGGTGCTTTGTAGAACCTGGTGGTATCAGTCAAAACAAGGCTGTGCAGAGAGTTAAACGGCTGGGCAGGGATTTGACGAAACCCAGCAGGTCCCATTTCCCCTTCAGGCCAGGAGGTGACAGGCAGACTTCAGCCACACGCGACTAATTCAACATGGGCATTGCTGCCCAAGCTGTTATCCAGCTCACGTGCTTCGCCAGAGGCCTGGCAGCAGGGAATCATTCCAGCTGTATCGCAGCTCCTCCCAGGCAGTTTTGCTCTTCTGACAGCCGCTGCAATAAGCCCATTTTGCTGGAGGACTTCCTCCCTTTCTGCCCTGCACTCTCATTCCCGTGGGTGCATCACTACTTCACTGCCAAGTTACCCAACAGGCTCAATGCAAACCCACAGCCAATGCTTGCTGCAGTCAGGCATCGGCACTCCTGATCGTGCCACTGGACTTCATAGGCATGCAGAACCAGGACTGCCCCAAGGAGGATCAGCCCTCCGCGCTCAGTCTTCAGAAAGGCGATGCAAGATGCAAAGCCAAGAAAGGCTCCAGCACATGGAGGAGCAAAGAAGGGAGATTCTTGCCCTCGAAAGTGAATGTGAGCTTGACCGAATTTGCTTCTACCCCTGCTTGCAGGAACAATAAAACACAATCCAATCCTGCTTTAATTCCACCACCCCCGGCAGACATCACAAAGGAAAATGCCCATGGAATCCTGGAAAAACAAAAGGGGGTTTTCAATAGATGCTTCTGCAAAAGTTGGGACAAGTGGTATCTCCAACAGGCCAGCTGTGGCCTAAAACAGATGAGGTCTAGCTTATTTCAGGAAGAAGACATATACTTATGACGTAGGGGTGTCTGCCGGTCCTTGGGGATGTTCTCTTTGCCAGTAGGAACATTCAGGCTCTGTCAGGTCCCAGCCATGTCAGAACACATTACTTTCCTCCCAGCGCCTCCCTGGCACCTTGGAGACCCTCACCCTGCATGTACACATCACGCTCGGCAGCTCGAGTGCTGCCGAACACACTGTTTTGCTTCTGGATGATTGGGACGCAAGCAGCAGGCAGAATCCATTAATCACCTCCACTCTCCAGAATCAAGACAGTGTCAGAGCAACTTGCTCCTCATTGCTATGCAGCACAGCCTTCCCAGTGGAGGTTTTCAAGGAAACAGAAAGCAGCAAAGAACACTTCTGAATGGCTGAGGCCAGGATTCCCAGAGGGGTCTCTGGGCATTAAGCATTCGACTCCAACTGAAAAATTGATGTAAACAATAGATTGTTACTTTGGTCTTCATTTTGACCCAGGCATACTGATGATTTAATCGTAACTGAAGCCAGCAGAGATTCTGTCCACACAGCAAAAGGGGGAAGATGACTACCACATGCCACTAAACTTATGCTAGCTTAAATCAAGCATACAGGGATAAATAATAACAAGGAAGATGGAGGGACGAGAGCTTTAGCACGTGCGAACAAAGCCGCACACTTTAGCTGTTAGCTAGTACGTGTGAATGTCCAACCACACCATCCTGGCTTGAGATCCTGGTGGGCCACAAGACTCACGTGCTCACCCAGTGCGTGGCAGAGGCTAAAGGGGACAATTACAGTCCTAGGCTCTTGTCCCAGCCAGATGACGCTTACTGACTCTAGCCAACATCATTTAGTCCATCCAGGTTTCCAAACGACCTCCCTTTCTCACTTTTCAGTGCCTGACAGTCTCTCACTAACAGAGTCGAGAGCTTCATAAATATCATGCCCAAATAGCTTGAGCGGTGGTTCAGAAAATTACAGATGGCTATGAAAACGCTGATGTGGAGGGAATCACCTACTTGGAAACACCACATCTCATCACACCTGCTGGGGGGGGGGGGGGGGCATTCTCAAACACTCACCCACTAGAGCTGGCCAAGTGTAGGGGCCTGAGCACAGCCCAAGAAGTTGGGAGGTGTTGCCAGAGCTCTGTGGCCTGGGACAACCCTACTTTAAGCATGTGCTTTGTCTGCACGGGCTAAAGAAGAACCTTGCTCTGTCAAGCTGTGCATTGCAAAGGGGAGAGAAGGGTGGTATTGAGGTGTTACTGCATCACAAAACCCAAAGTGCTTCGGTGGGTTCCTGAAGCTCCCTGCCTGCATCCCAGGAAATAAAATGGGACCGACTCACCAAGCAGGTTAGACAGAAATGAGAGTATCTTATTCCAAAGAGCAGGCATCCATCTGCACTCACGATAGCAAATATAACCTTCAGCAAAGAGCATGGCCAAATGGGTTTTGTCCAGAGCAGATGGCAATACAAGACAGATCCAGATCACAGAAACTAATGGCAACAAGGCACCGGTTGTGAACACAAGCCCTTAAAAGAAACCTGGTAGTTTAGTGCATGCCCTGTAATATCATGACACCTGAACCAGCTTCAGGGACTCCACTAGTAGCAGCCATCAGCCGGAGGTGTAAGAGCCTCATCTCTTCCTCCCACAGACTCTTAGGTTGGACCTGATCAAAGCCACTTTCCAGGCATTTATTCTGATATTGCCTCAACTTCCTTCCTCTGGGTGACATGCCTCAAGGCTTCTGCTAATTCTCAAAGCTTCCCTGTCTTCCCCAAAATAAAAGCAGAGGGGATGTATAAGTTGATGCCTGACTGCGTGCCCACACTATGATCCTTCCCACCTTCTGGTCAGGGTACCAGCACCACCACAAACAAGAAAGGAGACAGACCTGAACCACCCTTAAAGAGAATCAAAAAAATAAAGATGAAACCTAGGGCTGGGAGGTAAGATTAAGCTATTTTTTTAGTCAGTTTAAGAGGGAAAGTTCCATCCATTTTCATTAGGGAAGCACTTTGGCCGTATCTCAGGTTTCACGGAGAGAGCGAACTCTGAAGGTTACCGTACCCTCACACACTGGCGGCACATAACACTTAGTGGACAGGTTAATATTCTTCTCTGTCCAGTGACCATGGCTCCTCATTATTTTTATAAGAAATAGGAAAAAATCCCTATTATACAGTGTGGGAAGAGAAGAAATACAGAAAGAACAGAATAAAAGAAATGAAGTCAACGGTAGTCCCATACCCATCTCCCTGCAGAACACAGAAAATATCTTGACCTGTCTCACGCTCCATTTTTGGACTTCCATTTAGAATTCAAAACATCTAGATGGTTGAGTGTATCAAATTATTAGCAATATCCAAGGAGCTGGAATGCTCTCTGCCTGCCCTACCCACGCTGCTGCTCAAAAAGTTAAAGACTGGCAGCATCCATGTACCCCTCATCCTACCTGGGCACAAACTTCGCAAGTGCTCCCACACAGACAAACCTCTCCCATGTAAAACCTAAGCAATGCCAAGTTTCCACAACTAGTATAAAAAAAAAAAACCCTAAAAATTCAGCATCTCAAACACCTGCACAAATACTCTCACTATACTTCAAAATTTGATCTAGCAGAGCACCCAGGTCTCACAGTTAGTTGCAGTGGTCAGAAATAACTACACCGGATTGATGTTCAAGGACCACAAGCAAAAGCCCAAAATAAATCGATAGGAACAAGTAAAAATCTTTCTGTAATCACAGAACAAATTCACTGACTTCACTGTAGAGCAGCAAGCCCTGATGTTGGTGGATGCTGGCTGGCAGACAAGAATTGAGGCAGGCCATTACTTTTTGCAGCATAAAGTCAAGGATAAAGGATATAAAAATTGAGAGACCTGCATTAGAAGTCTCACACACTAGCAAGTTATGGGATTTTGCAGGCAGGGAGGAAAACAGACTTAAAAGCTGCAATCCTAGTTATTTTTAGAGGTACAAATATTGCAGCTATCCTATAGATCTCTCAGCTGTATTAAAGAATCAGCGTTGGCCAAGTTTATTTGCCACAGAGCTAGGAGTAAGAGTGCAGCAGCAAAAGGTAACAGTCTCTTTATGACCATGGCTAGAATAACTCCACAAAGCCATGCAGGCTGCAGGGACTGGTGTGGGTTTTTTTCCCCTCCGCCCCTTCACAAATCAAAGTTGCCACCATTGTGTGGATTCATTGAACCTGCCTGGCTGCCAGCCAAGCCTCCCAAACCCCATCCCAAGCTCCGTCCCAGTGCCCAGGCACAGGGAAGAGCCCAGGCACACTCAGCACAGACTTAGGTGCACGCTGCTGAGCCCCATCTCTCCACACTTGCATTTTACCTCTCTCTGTTCACTGCAGATCTTGCACAACCAAAGAGGACGTTTCTGGGTTACACAGGTTTCTATTCCACACTTGGTGCAAACTTTCTGAAACAAGGAGAAAGAGAAAAAAAAAATAATTAAAAAAGGTGGCGTTAGCAACTCCCCACAGCCATATAGCCCTTGGGAGAGAAAAAGATCAAGAAGCGTCTGTCCCAACAGTTCTGTTTTGCTTTCCTTAAATACCTAAACATGGCAGAATTTTCTTATTTATCCTAGAGAACCACTGATCAGAGGTCTGCTTCACTGAACCACTGCTTCAAGTCTATACGGACATGAGACAAAGGCAAATCTACAGCACAGTCCTTGACTGCAGGGTGAGAAGAGAACTGCAAACCCCATGACCAACAGGCATATTTCTAGAACATTTTTTTATTTCTTTAAATCCTAAAGCCCAATCACTGTGGCATGGAAAGCAGCTGTAACCGAGTACAAAACAAGCACCAGTTTGTGCAAGACTGGAAATCCTCTCCTCCCTTCCCTCACATACACAGTCTTAAAACCCACGGCTTCCCCTCCATTTCAGCACGCACTCGGCAGCTATTGACTTGTGGCTGCTTGGGAAGCGGGTACGACCATGCCTACATGCACATTTCCTGAGCAGAATGCTTGATAGCACCGCACGGCCTCTATTGCTGTACAAGGGAACTTTCATGTCTCCGCTGGCATTACAAGCCATTTACAACCTGAATCACCTAATATCATATAATGAAGCTGATGTGTATCAGGCTTGGCTTACAGCTTGAATGAGAAATTGGATGAATTCTTTGATCCTCACAGAGCAAAAGCCACTCACAAGAGGGCCCTGGAGAGCAAAACCTTGCTTAGAGAGACATGTGAATTTAATCTCCCCAGCTAAGGTTTTACATATCCTCCCAACCAGGCTGCTCCTCCTCTGAGACAGGAGGTCTGTGTCCAGGGACGAAAGTCTCAGTGACTCACTCAGCCCTCAGTGCTCATGCCTGGATGAGGAGAGCAGCAAAACAACAGTACCTGAGGCAATGGCTTCATTGCATGAATAAATGCACCCAACTATTTTGGTCAGTGTAGTCCAGAGGCAGGTCTGTCCCTGACTCATGGTGCAGAGAAAGTGGAGGCAGCACCAGCAGCCCCACAGAGGTTGGTGCTTCTCTCCATCTCTCTGTTCCTGTCCTTGCCCTCATCTTCCCAGAGAAATAAGGAACAACCTATTGGGTCTGGTGCATCAATACTCAACATGGTGCTACCTAAGCCAACTGCAGATGCAATTAGCAGACACCACCCAAAGTGCCACAAATTCTCCCTCCATCAAACCAAAATTAGAGGGAGCAACTCAGTCTTAAATACCCTCTAAGATCCCAGTCCGCACACGTATAGCACATTCAAACACTCCCTCTAGTGGAAGCTTCCAAGCGATTTTATTCCTAGCCATAAATTTTGGAAGTTCCAATGTAAGCCAAGGCTTTCCTCATCCCCTTCCCTGCAGACTAACTGGAAAATTGAGCGTCACTCACAACCTCTCAGAAGAAAACATAAAAATCAAGGATAGTAAACACAGACCCATTCCCCATTAAATACAAGATAAAGCACTTTCTTCTCCTACTTATACTTCACCTTTTATACATGACACGGATACCTTCTGCATGGTAAATGATACATTATGCTTTGTCTAACTACTGCTATTGTTAACACATCTAGATTTGCATACATCTGTCTTGGCATAATGCATTTATTTCTAAGATAACAAAAACTAGTATTAAAAATATTCTTCATAAAACAGAAAGTGGTGCTTGGAAAATCTACCAGGCTATAAGAAACAGAGAACCTCTATTCAGCAGAAGGGACTTGCTGAAGTTAAGTTCTTTGCTATGGTTCAGATGCATCATTACGACAATTCCTGTTATTAAATTAAATGGGTTGCAATGAGATGGTAACAGAGCAACACTAGCAAGAAAAATGTGAACTTTAAAAATCCATAATTCCCTGACAAGTCATTGCTTATTGCATACAACACTGCATGAGTGATGGATATCCCCGGAGAAGAGGGAAAAAGCTTAAAGTAGCAGTCCATTCTGTGTGCTCTGCCGAAGGGTTGACTGTTCCCCGAGTTCACTCCACAACATTAAAAAGCAGCAAGGGAAGAAGCCCAGGGCACCCAGTCAGCATTGCCCTGAGCTCACACACAGCTGAAAAGTGCAGCCAAGCTGAAAGCAGCTGCAAAATGCACACTGGAAAAGTAGGGTCTCACCTTAAATCAACTGGATATGAATCCTCCTGAACTGCCCAACAGACTCAGAAAAAGAGGGAATAACCACAGGAAAACCCATCCCTTCTCTGGGGTTTCCTGGCCAGAGCCCTCCTGGAGTCCCCCTGGAGCCCCAGGCTCACGCAGCCTCACCAGCTGGAGGGGTTACTACCTGCAACTGCCAGCAGACAGGGCAGGGAAGTGTCTGCACCAGCTTTTGCCTCCTCATTAGTGTACAAGGCTCACAGGAAGGAGGTTAGAAAGTGCTGTGGCAAAGTGACCCAGCTGGCTTCGGACAAGGTGAGAGCAGAATCGCCAAGGGAAGAAGGCAAGGATACAGCACATCCTGTTATTCTGCGTGCTTGAAATTCAGGAAACAGCTCGCCATCTCCTGTCTGCCATCCCGCCCTTTATTCTCCACAGACGTGTGTGCACAGAGCCCACGCTCCTCTCCAGAAGAGCTGCCCTGTAGCTCTCGTTTACACCAGACCTTTCACTTCCCAGTACCTTACAGCTGCTTCCTTCTCCACCCCTTCCTAAAAAGCTACTTTATCCCTGCCTTAGGACCTAGGGGTTCAAAGATTTGTGTTTACTTTCCCAGTCCCTCCCTTACAAGCAATCCTCTGCATAACCCCTGCCTCAGTCAAGCTACTTCTGCAAATTGGTTCCAGTGGAGAAACCCACTCGACAGCAAAGGCAGCACAGCTCACAGCAGCTCCCTGCCCAGGGCACACGTATGGAGGGATGCTGGGACCTTGGTTCTGACTGCAAGGGGCACCCACCTCCCTGCCCTCTCTTACAAGAGCTCTAAGCCCAGCAGTGCCACAGCCAACTGTGGAGCAGCGCAGACCCAGCCCGGCAGCCTGCTCCGCACGAGAATTGCTTCTCACAAACTCCAGCAGTGCCAGCACGAAAGGTTCTCCATCGTGGCCTGCATGGCTGCTTAACCACAGAGGTGCCAACACGCAGCACTCCACGGCAAAGGAGCAGGTTTTACTAAGTGCTGTCCTGTGGACACTGTGAGACAGGGTGGGTGACATGGGCAAACGTGTCCTTGGCTCCAGTACCAACCAGGGTACCCTTCCACCCTACCACCAGCAAGTCAGAAACACTCCTGCACCCAGCAGGTACCCTCACCTCTCCCCAGGCAACATGCTGAGGCAAAGCCACTTACAGAGGTATCTCCCCAGGGAAAGATGGGCTTCAAGTGCAGGAAAAACAGCCTCCCAGCAGAGGGAGGATAAGGTGGTTGCCTTGGAGATCATCATCTCCACCGCAATACAGATTAACCCCTTGGCTGCAGAGTCTAGACAAGCAACAACCATTCCCCAGGGTACAACAGCAGTCTCCCTGCAAACTGCCGCTGCCTCTCAAACAGCACCCGTGCGGTCCTGCCAACAACATGCAAACACAAGCAGTCACAGATGCACAGGCTAATTTATGCATCAGGGTTGGAAACCTTACACTGACTTGGAATTTGAAGATGGACTTGAGTCCTCTGAAGAGATACGTTACTGGAAGGCCCAAGGGCAGACCTTGCAGTAAAGAAGTGTAAAGCACGCAGACCCTTTTATGAGTTGCCTCTGATCGATGTACATTTCTGCCCCTTCTCCCACTCTGCAGCCCCAGAGTGGGAGATGCAGAGGGGGCTGATGTACCCCATCGCAGCACTGAGTGCCATTTAGGCTCTTTAGGATACTGAGGAATAAGACAATCAGGATGCAAGACAAAACCTGATGGTCTGACAGCAACGATCTAGACAACTGGGGCTAAAATAACTCTGCAGAGCTATCTAGCTCCCAAGAGGCCTGGGGGCCTTTTCTGGACAGATTTGCTACCAGGAACAGGCAGAACCTGTGTGACCAAACCCACCTTTTTGCAATCCTGACAAAAGACCGACGTGCTGCCCAGCAGCCCAAGCAATTCACCGCAGAGCAGACACTGGGAGAGGCCATTCCCCATCACATTCTTTCTCATGTTCTCCAGCCGCTCCACCAGGCGCCTGTGGGGAACGAGGCAGAGCAGAGGTCACAGCACTCACCTTGGAAGTTGAAGCACATGGTACTGAGGCATACTGAAAACCTGCAGACGTGTGCTCCAGACTCAGCCTACCTTTGCTGCTTCTGTGCGGTTTTGGGCCCCTTGCTGGGACCATACGTACTTTCACTTCAGCCTCTGCACTCAGTGTTTCCTATTAGCTGCCTCTTGGTCTTCAGGGGATACAAACCTCTGTAAGTCCACCTACCGATGCTAACCAAGCCCAGAATAATCAAAACTGCGAGTAACACCGACAGGCCTGACTCAGCTTGTGGGTGCAGGGCAGACAGCTCACAAGAGGGGCTTTGCCCCACACCCTTCAGGAGCTCCATGTCACCTGGGCCACACAGCCTCAGCACAATGATTTCCTGCTTGTAGAGCAAGAAAAGCATTTAGTGCTTTAGTCAGACAGCACTGGGAAAGGGCTTAGAGCTGCCAAGCCCTGCTCCATTTTTACACACGGTCCCTGAAAGCAGCACTGCAGCACATGACTTGCCTACATCCCATTAGAAGCAGGAACACCAGACTGAGGCCATCAGACCAGAATGAGCCGGGCTGCAGTAACCTGCTTCATTCGACAGCCCGCTTGGAAGACAGGAAGCACATATGTATGCACAATGTCCGTAGCAGCAGGACTACGAAAGGAAAGGAAGGCGGGATAAGCAATTAGGATGCAGGATGTGGAGAGCATGCAGAGCAGGGCTGCTGTCATGAGATCACTGCTTGGCAATTCTCAGGCATCCATTTGTAGATGGGGACGATAACAGCCGGGCCATTTTTATCAGAGGCAGTGACCAGCCGCAGCCGTGCGCATGCATGCAGCTCAGGAAGGAAAAGCAATCCTGCTATCCATGCAGCCCCATTCTCATTAGAGCTAATGTCCCATCAACCAAGTCCCATACTGAGAGGAAGGCAAGGTCTGTTTGAAAGAGGTACTGCCTATGGTGATAAGGTCAGACAGCGCAGCCAAGCTGAGCCATCATTAGTGGGTTTATGATCCTTGACTTCAGCACAAGAGAACTCCCAGGAGTTAACAAAGGCATTTCAGAGAATGCTTCAGCACGGGAACAGCAAGGCTCTCTCTTTCTGCGGCTACACCAACAACTGCATAGGAACAATCAGCCCCTCAGGGTCTCTGGCTGCTTCTAGGGCTGTTGAGGCCTCCCATGTATCACATAAACATCACTGTCCGTTCTCATTAGCACTCGCTACCATCCACTGCACGCAAAGCACAGGGGCAGAGTGAAGCACTGGGACAGGAAGCTGGACACGGGCTGGGAGTCACTTGTGTTTGTGAGATAGGAAACACCAACACTGCTGGGAAATGCTGCAGGACTGCTGAACTCCCCATCTTTAAAGACAGTCAGTGTAGGATGACCACAGATGCAGCTGAGGCCAGACCTCCAGCAGGATTGAAAGCAAATGGAAATCTGCAGCAGCAAAAAGGAAAAGGATGCCCGTAAATTAAATAATTCAAGCTAGCAAACCCCTTCCAGAGGACTTGGCCAACTAGAACATAAACTCATTCACTGCTCCAGGCAAAATCCCAGGGGGCTGCCGCAGACAAGGGAAAATTTAACTGTGCTGCCAGCAGCAGTTTCTGAGCCGTGCCGTCCACTAGCAGTGGGTGCAGCTGCACAGCTCAGCATCTTCCCCGGCCTCTCCCACAGCCGCTGGGGCAGCTGCCTTAGCACAGGCTGCATTTACCAGGGACTGTGTCAGTGGCTGCAACCACAGCAAGTGCCACAGCTCAAAGGCGGCACGAGAAAGGCTTGAGACATGGGGAGAAGGAAAACATCACATCCTTCCCAACGCTCATCCCCTCCAAACAAGCAACATGGGAGGGGAAAATAACTGACCTAAGGGGGATGCTCTGACTGATGGAGGCTGAGCTCAGGCAGCCAGGAGAGCCACTCCTCTGTCTGCACTGACCTTTCCTTCTGAGGGAAGGGGACAAATGAACGTGACTGTACCCGATGCGCTGCTGCTCGATGAGGTCCAATTTCTCCGCCTTGCGGATGACTTCCAGAATGACCTCAAGTTCCTGCGGGCTCAGAGCCTGCATCTTCCTCTGCTTCTCAGTCTGGAACGTGTGCACCGACCAGCCCGTCTGGAGCCTGTGGGAGGGGGTGGAGGGCAGAATTAAACTGTGAAAGGAAAGCACAAAACCCCTGCCCAGCCAGGCACACAGAGCCTGAGTCAGCCTTCCATCAGAGAAGTCTGTTCTCTGGCTAACGCCCAAAGCAGGAGTCTCTTCTCACTGACCAGATCACCATGTCACTCCCCCAGCAGCACTGAGTGCTGCACTCTCTCTCCCTGCCCTCTCATTTCCCTTTCAGCTCCAGTTTGTATTTTACCACTCCACGTCCTCACTCTTGTTTGGTTCTGCCCACAAAGAAAACGAGTGCACCTAGTGCTGGCTATTCTGGGGCATCCTTGCCGACATGGGGACTGATGCCAGACACCACAAATGCCAACAGCAGACTCCAGAACACAGGGATTACCTGCACCCTCCTCCCTCCAGATCACACATTTCTAAGATCCTCAGGTTCAAACACACAAAGCACCAGACACACTTGGAAATACAAATTTGGCAGCTTCCTCCCTTGGTCTAACCCAGGCCCACACGAGGACTTCAGCAAGCTGCTTCCCTCCGTGCCTCACATACAGCAGCAGATATTTCTCCTTAGCTCACTTGGGGACAGGCAGGAGCTTTCACAGCTCAATTAATTACCATTCAGTGGGGGTTAAGAAGTCACGGCATAAAGTCACAGCTGCTAGCAGAATGCAGAGCACTATCAGACACAGCTGTCTCCATGAGGCTTTCAGGTGAAGGCTGTGGAAGCGGCAGCAGTGTGCACTGTTCACACTCAGGCAGTCCCTTCAGACGCAGGGTGACCTCCTATTTTCTAACACTCTGCAGCAGGCTGACCCCAGAGGTTCAGACAAGAGCAGAGGTGGCAGTGGCAGGGTACTGGCTGCCAGAGAAGGAAAGCATCCAAGAAACAAATGCAATTCTAGTGCTTGACTCATCACCATCCCTTTTGTCTTTAGGTTATGCAGTAATTTAACTTCAGGGGAAAATGAGATCAAATGACAAGTTCCTAAAACAAAAGAGTGCTGGCAGCTGGGGGGTGCTATCAATTATATTTAGGGTGCTGCAGAGATACAAGCCTGCCTCCGAGCCCTTCCTTTAACCCAGGGGAGGGCTGGTGGGATGGATTCCCACCACACGCCAGCCACACTGCAAACTCCACTGCCGGCTGGCAGCTCCGAGCAGCAGCCAAGCACCGAGCCTCAGCTTTGCAGGCTCCTGTCCCACCCCGCAGCACACTCCTAGGGTACAGAAGGGTCTGCATGACATGGCAAACTCCTGCCTCCCAACCAGGCTGCGGATGAGGCCGGTGGGCCAGAGCTCCACAGAGATCCTGGGAAACCCTTCAGGCCGGAGCTGAGGCTGGAAGGAGAGGAGGGGGGTGGTGAGGACTCACTTGGCACGCAGTGCCAGCTGCCGGTCGTTGGGGCACACCCACTGGCCCGTCCCACTGCCAAAAATCTTGTCGGCCATGGCACCAGGATGGGGAGGAGAGGCAGGGATCACACCTGTAAGAAGCAAACACCAGCACTGAGCACAGCTGCCACCCCACCCTGAAGAAAGCACAGGGCAGCGCTAGGCACAGCCTTATTAACCATTCCGAAGGGCCGCTCTTCTGGCAAAGGTGATCTGCTAGCGTTGCACATGGTGGAAGTAGACAGACTCTCACCCAGAGACAGCAATAAAACCATACCATCATCCTCATAAAATATAAGCCAATAAATGCCTTCCAATACCTTGAAGGCAAGGCTGCAAGTTTAGATTTTATGGTACTCTGCAAAAAGCCAGAGTCTCTTTGTCAGTTCTGATTCTCCATTTCGAACTAGAGAAAAGCATTGTTTGTAAGAATAATCTCTGTCCCATCACCTCTAGAGCCCCGATGCTCCAGTACTGACAGAGAAAGCCACTCTAAAGGACACAAAGAAGCTACAGTTGCCTTTTTTACCTCTTAATGGGGTAACAAACAAAAACCCACGCGACAATCAGCGTGAATAGTGGCAAGTCATTTCGTTCATTAAAACTGCCTCCATAATAGCCTGATATTTATAACTACAGCCTACAATAGCAGCTTGTTTGCATTCTCTGATGTTTAAGACAGCACCTCTTTCAGCAGACCTCCTACTGCAGCTCCTGTAACCAGCACGATCACACCAGTGATTCCTCGTGTTCAATGACAATCTCACTGTGAACTGATCAGTAAAGGCAGTAAGAGCCAACTTCCACACGCTTACGGGAGAAACGCATCCCCAAAAGAGACTTTGCGGCTAAGCAGTTCCAAGTCCTACCAGCAGCTCAGATGAAAGAAAAGCACCAAGGGACAGGCACAACCAAAAGATTTCAGTGGAGGCAAAACTGATCTTGATGTACTGAGCTTTCCTCCAGCTGGATTTACTCTCCAGCAGAGCAAGTGTCTCATGAGCCCTAACGCATAAGTTTCCAGGTATTACTACTTACCTTTCCCAGAACAGACACTTGCCAGCTTTGAAACCATACCTGCTGGGCAGAGATAACGTGTTTCATGCTGTTTGGCAAACACAAATCAGATACAATAGCAGGCAAGGTATAGCACCTGCCAACTGTGCAGTAGTTCCCAAGAAAACACATGTTCCAGTCCCAATCCACAGCGCACCAACCCCAGTAGTGCCCGTGGTTCAGCGTGCTGCACCTCCGCTTGCTATCTACTGCTGACACGCGGAGCTTTCTGCTCCTGTCCCAGGCTCGGAGGCATCACAGGCTGCGTGGCCTTGGCCCTCTTACATAGGCAGGCACACAGCTTGTGCAAATCGCTCTCCCTCTCCCTAGGCTGAGCTCGCATGTGCCACACACGCCACACTCAACCCCCAGCACAGAAAGACCAATCTGTGTTAGAGAACTGACAGCTGTCTTCTGCCAAACCCCACAACAGCCTCGAGAGCCCAAACAGTTACAAACAACGAACCAGTTCCTTCCTCTCTGACCTTCCAATATCTAGAAAGAGTCTGAAAACTCAGCATGTACAACAGGCAGGAGAGAAGAGGAGGAATTCCACACGAAGCACAAATTTCAGTGCAGGGGGACAGGTGCGTAAAAAGGGTGAAGGCTCTAACAACTGAGCATAAAGCTCAGCAGCACGGTCTGTACAGTAAAGCAAGGCATGGAGGAGATGGGATGCTGCAAGAAAGGTTTGGCAGAGAAAGAGGGTTGAGACAGGAAGGACAGACAGAAATGTCGCAGACAATTATTTAAACCTTTACTACATTAATTAAGGTGATCACTTTTTAAAAGGGATCATCCCTAGAAGAAACCTTTGAACCCTGGCATCTTCGATTCACCAACTACTTTCACCGCTCCGCTCAGTGCCACACATGCTGTTGGTTTGCATTTCCATTTTGTCCCAGAAGCAGCTCCTGTTCTTTTCATCTTCCTCATGATCTCAAGCAAGGAGAGAACGCAGTCCTTGCACACGTTCCACAGCAGCTCACAAAACAGAGAAAGAATACAGAGGCTCCTGCCCCCGGGTCACTGTTAGAAGCAGAGAGAAACTACAGTTTCACACAGAACGGCTGACCTACGATTTTCCAGATATTTTCCAAGCCTGTGATGTGTTGTTACAGGATTATATGCACATGTACCCACACACACAAATGCATATATTAAATTACTCTTGAGATATACCACATACTCTTCCCACCCACTCACGCACACCTGAAGAATAGCACAGCCCACACAATGTCCAGTGGCGAGGCTGAATGCACACAACCATACCAACGTGACCGGCGCTTGGCAGCCGTCGGATGTTTAGCATAAAAGCTAGAGCTGGAGATGAGCCCCACACCATGGTCAGGGCGGAGGAGTTTGCTTTGCCAGCAGCTGTGCCTTCAGGGTGGAAAGCAGCGCTGAATACATCTGCCCCTCCTCTGCAGAGCTTTATCTGCTCCAACAGAGAGGAAGGCAAGTCAGAATAGAGCACATCAGCTAAGCATTTTTCTCAGGAGAGACCCAAACACATTCTCCAGCCTTAGACCACAGTGCGCTTTTCTCAGCATGACTGAACAAAAACAAGCGATGTCATGCTCTTTTGCCTCTTGTTACTCAGCATACGGTTTCTGTTCTCCACCATTCCCTGAGCAGCATCTGCAAAGGGAGGAGGAAAACAAAACACAGCCTAGAGATCCATCATATCCCAAAACAGCTTTCCGATAGATTATCCTCTAAAATATTTACAGGAGCATTTTCTTTAGGCAGCACTGGGTATCTGCTGCTCCCTCTGATGTAAACTGGCATTGCAGGTGGCTTTGCACCTTTGCCTCTGAAAAAAGCCCGGTGTGGTTTGACACAACCACCTTGGAGAAGGAAGCAAGAATGACGTGGGACTGCCGGCCACAGTCTGCTGGGGCAGGAACAGGAGCACTAGCAGGACTGGAGGGAAAGGAATATTTTGCACGGCCACAGGAATGATGCCAGAGAAATGGTACCAGTATCTGGAAGGCATGAAACACCCTCTCTTTTATCTCTGTACAGGACAAGAAGTACAGTGGAATCAGCCTAATCAGAAACACTAAGATAACAAAACCATGCCAGCCAAGAGAGTCATTTCTCCAGGCTGTGGTGAAACATCTCTCTCTTGCAGTCAGCCTCTACTGCATCCTCTCTCAAAAATGCTCCAGTTAGCACCTACCTCAGCAAGCCAGCCCCTCCCTGTTCTCTGTTCCTCTCAACAAGCTGACAAAGGGCAGAAGCAGCCAGTCTCTAGCAGTGAGAGCGCAAGAGAAATCCACAGCTCTTAGTCCCCCTGCAAGTACACTGCATACAGAATAAAGGGGAAGCACAAGTACTTAGTGTTAAAGAAAGAAAACTTCCCACTCCGAGATTCTGCTTTTTACTTGAATTAAGAATTAAAAGGGAGCTCTTATCGATACTCTATGACCTGCTTTAAAAACCCTCCACCTGTTTGTTCCTTTCCTATGATGGAGGAAGTCATGTGAAACAAAACCTCATTAAATCTGAGTCCACCTGGCTGCCCTTGGCACAGAAGCTAAGGAGCACTGCAAGGAAGGAGTGCTGCTCCGCAGGGAGCCAACCATTTGCATGGGGCCAGGAGCATTTTAGATGATGCCTAACTGAGCACAACTCTGTCTGCAGCTCTGACGTAGCACTGCTTCTGCTGTCTCCATGATGAGACTTAGACTCTGCAGCCAGAGACCGTGACTTCAGTCTGCAAGGGAGAAATCTTGCGGTAGGGTCTGAGCAAAGGGAACAGCGGCAGGGTCACACTGGTGACTTGGCCCCACGTCCCTGCAGAACAACAATGAGACAGCAAAGTGAGCAGGATCTTCCCCACTTCTTGGCCTGGAGGATGAAGGTGGGCTGCAGCCAGCTGTGCAGCAGCTCTTCCACGCTACCAAACCACACAGCCATGGATCCTGTGGCCAGCACACCTTCCCGAAGCAGCAGCAGAACAGCAGCAGGAGGTGTTTCTGGATGTACTCCTGATCCGTGTTCCAATAACCAGTACATTTGGCACCAACTACAAATGGTGGCCGCGATGGCAGAAGGTTGCCACGTCGGTTCATCCCAGAGCTAGCCCTGGCTGACAGGAGTACACATACACAGCCCTTTGACATGATGCTCTTCAAAGAATTTCAGGCTCTTCTGTGAAAGAAAGTCAGTTTTCTCAGCAGAGTAACAACATGAACATCACATATCTTTACCTTAATAACGGAGCGCAGTCATAGCAGGTCATGCCAACGGTCCAGTGAGCACAGTACCTGCTATCTGACCAGCCCCAAGAGCAGATGCTTAAAGAGTACAAGAACAGAGCCCAACACAGCAAAACTTTTCCAGAATAACCTCCCAGCCTCCAGAGATTCCTGGATCATGCACTCCCTGAGCCAGGCTGTAGCTCTGTATTTAATACCCTTAACATTTTTCTGTCCCAAATTTATCTGCTTGCTTTTTCAGCTCATGTACACTTTTAGCATCATTTTGATACACCAAGTCCCTTCCCCACTCCTCCACCTCAAACACGTTTTGACTTTACCTCGACTACATCAAAGTTAAAACTGAAGGGTCTTGTTGACATTGAGGTAGTCATTGCAGGAGAAAACACCTCCTCACGGCAGCGACAGCACAGCCTGCACGAGCCCTCCTGCAGCTGGACTGATTACAGGTGCCCACGAAGCATGAATTCCTCCGAACCCTGCAAATGCAAAAATGTCCTATGCAGGTCCATAAGGAGCTCTCCAGTCAGCTTTCATTTGCCTGGTTATTTCAGCTAAGCAGTTTGTGTCTATATTAATTTGTTTTTATAGGAAATTAATTAGGCAATTTTTTTAAAATACCTCATTTAAAAAATAAAAATTAAACAGTTGGCCAGAGACAAGTTCCCAATTCCCAAGCCGAGCTGTGCCGGTGTAATTAACTCGCCTGCTTTGAGGGCGTCACCTCCCCCAGGACTCCCACCTTGCACCAGGTACCGTGCTGGCCTGTTTTTC